CTTCTAAGTAGTTTCCTGAGAAAGAGCTCATAAAGCAAATTCTATGCTCACCCCTGGATTGATAGTTTGGGCACAAAATTTTAGTTTGGAAATCATTTTCACTCAGAATTTTAAATATTGCTCTGTTTAGTTTTCCAGTGTTGCTGTTTAGATATCCAAAGCCAGTTTCATGTTTATTCTTGGTGCGTAACCTTTTTTTTTTTTTTTTCTATTGGCACCTCCCTTTCTCCCATGATGTTCTGAAATTTTAACTCTATCATGCTGGTTTCTCATGCCAAAAATGTTGGGGTTATCTCTGTCTCTTTTTTCTCTTAACCTCTTATCCATCAAAACAAATCTTTCAGCACTATCTTCAAACTATCTGGAATCTAATTACTCTTAATTATTTCCAATTCCACTATTCTGGCCCAACCCATCATCTCTTGTCTAACTTCCTAAAGACAAAGACTTTGCTTTATTCACTGCTGTTGCCATAGCAGGTAGAACAGGTTTTAATCACTTGCCGCCTTTCCTGTCCCCCAAGGCCCTTTATCTTTACCCTTCTCTCTCCTGAGCTCCAAGGGCCTTTCTTTTGCCTCTGTAACTTACTTCCTGAGCCCATTCCTTCTATAGCTCACTTCTTCCACCTGTGACTTTCTAAATAAACTTTCTCTTATGGTTTGAGTCTTGGCTCTGAATTCTTAGCCAGAAATCAAGTACTGAGGTTGCTGAACCAAGATCTAGTAGCAGGTAACATTCTGGTGCTATTTTCCCCACCACCAGCAAATGTATCAGATTACCCTGTGATGTTACTTTCAGTTACTGAACTTGTACATACCCTCTTTTTTGTCCACATAACAAGCAATACAAGAGACATACACAAAACAATGAAAAAAAACCCAAAAATTCATAGGCTCAAGAAGCTAGCTTCACAAGTATTTTCTCCTGCTCACCACTTCTACTTCCACTGAACTTTGCAGACAGAGATCAGAGGGACTGTCATGGTACGAAGCTTACCTCTTGCTGGCTTTTTGTCACAGATCTGGCAGGTGTAGCAGTCCTAGCTAGGAGCTAGGAGTGTTCCAGCCAGTGAGTTCTGGCTGGCTCTCCAAAACTGTGGGGGAGGAAAAATAATTTTCCTTCCACCCTGCTAGGTTGTTCTGCCTGATCTAAGAATCAAATTGACGTGAAAACAGATTAGCAGAATGTGGGGAAAGGGGCCACACACTAAACCTGATAAGCTCAGGGGAGGACTGCATGGCGGCCTTACAAACTCAGGGACTGAAAGGAATCACGATAGGACGGTCTGAATATAACAAAGCTGGTCATGGCAGGTAATCATGTCCTAGGCCTCTATCTTCCTTGACAAAGGTCAACCTTTCCCTTAAGTGAGCCTGTCTATTGTCTTCTTTGTATCTAAGAGAATTTTTGCATCTAAGATTACTTTGAAATGTCAGAGTAATTTTCTTTTCCAGACCCCTCAAGGCCCAACTGCCAACTCTGGAGAATGAAGCCACAGAAACCCTCATTGTTATCGTGTTTCCTGCAGTCATCTCTATGTGCTATAAATGGTATTAACTGTCCTGTACCCACCAATGTAAAAGAAGTGTTTCTCCATTTTGCTTTTTATCCAATCAGAGAATTCCTTGCTTTGCTTTCCCACACTCTTAATTTCATGTAACCGTCTTTACCTCTCCTCCTTTTATTCTAATGTATAAAATAAGCTGCAAAACTGTCATTCTCCAGAACACTTTTGTTACTGAAGTATGGTAGCAATCATCTCAGATAGAAACTATAGTTTAACTTTAACCCTGCTGTTTGGTTTAACAATAGAAAAGTTATTTTGATTTTCTGAATTATATAGATTATCCCATTCGATTGAATACCCGATTGATTGTACTGTGAATATCCCATTGGTTGTGGTCATACGGGTCTTAGCACATTTTCCTTTACCTGGGAAGGACAGCACAATTATCCCAAGGTCAGAGGGCTCCAGTTAACATGTCCCTGTTGACTCAGTGTTCTGGAGACCCAAAACTGTGATTTAGATAACATGCTGCTTCTGCTTCTGTAAACTGCTTTTTTGCAAATCAGGTTCCTCATTCCAAACCTTGGGATGTAATCAATACCTTTGTGATCTTTGCCTATATAAGTCTGGTTTTGGGACCATCTTACTACTATGAGATTTGGGAGAGCAAGATGCCCCCTCATAGTCCCGGATTTCAATAAATGTGACTCTTTAATTCGACTTCTTGAGGCGTCCTTCTGTGATTCGCGGGGTACATTACAACATTACCAGACTAAAGAGGTCCATTTCCCTGCACACATCAAAGCCCAATAAGATGTGAACTGGAGTTGGCAGCAAAGAAAGTAAAAATTTTAAGGAAATGGCGCCAAACTCAGAGTCACAGGTAAGCAAGCACTCTAAAACCTAGTTCCCCAATGGCCCATGCAGGAACAGATTATATACAGGAAAAATTAATCATGGTGATTAAGGGAACTGGGGTTGTGGGCTTTACTGGTTGGCTGGGACCAGGGTAGGGAGTAGCTGATCATTGTATCAGGTCCTGATGTTAACCATGATGTCATCCTGTCTAGTTCTATGAGGGTGTGGTAACACAACTGAGGTGTTACCTTTCGTATGACCAAAACTCTGTTTCTGTGGTCAACAGACCTGAGTCTTTCTTATTCCTTAGACAGTTTGATGCTGATCAGAATCTGATGTCCTAAGGGCTTCATGATAAAGGAACGGAGTGGATGGACAGAAAGGAGAAAGGGTCCTGTTAAAGAAACGGAGTTTATGTGCAATTTCGTTGTCTCAATCCATTGAGATTTTATTTCCCAGCAATTGCCATCAGTTTGGCTCAAACTCCTAAAAGTTCTCTATGGATTTAGATGTTTCTTAGGTTGACAAGGAGAAAAGCAAAATGTAATTTGATAGCATATATCCTAGCACCTCATGTATATATGGGAAGGACCCAAGGACATCAAGTAATTTACCCAAATGGGAGAAGCCATCATCTTAAATACTACTTTTTTCTAAAGACAAAAGATGTTGGAGGTAGAGAGTCAGTTATGAGTTTACCAGGAAAAGCACTGTAAGCAAGAGTAAGATTGTTATATACAATTAAGTCCATGCCTTCTCTACTGATAATGAAGGCAGTCCTGGCATAGTGAGGGAAACATGCTTAAAAATGGGTATTTCCCTTATAAAAGCAAATATCCTTTCAGAAAGAGTAACTTCTACTTGGTCTTCAGAGCTTCTCCCATGTCTGCTGTTTCTTAAAAGGACCCAGCCTAGAATTATAGCCCAAAGAGGCACATTTTGGGGAGGCAAACAGCTCCCCACCAGCAGCAAAAAAACATTCCATTTCCCTCAGAACTGAATATGAAAACAATTCTGCAACATTGCAATATTATTGAATATTAACATCAATAAGTATAATGTATGACATAAATACTATCTTAATCATTAATGTATAATATGAACCAGTTAATTAACAACTGGTTATTATTTTGGATATTTCTGTAATAAGTAAGTGTCCTAAGCTCTCTAAGTCTAGGTTTCCTTAGCTGTAAAAATGTGTGGATGAAAAGGGGCCACATGCTAACCTGATTAGTTCAGGGAAGGCCTTCGGTCTGAAATGAAAGCATTTTTTTTTTAATTCCTCACCTGAGGATATTTTTCCATTGATTATTTTTTTTAGAGAGAGGGAAAGACAGAGAGAAATAGCGATGTGAGAGAAATACATTGATAGGTTGCCTCCTGCACAGGCCCTGACCAGGGCCTGGGCTGGGGAGGAGGAGCCTGCAACTGAGGTACGTGCCCTTGATGGGAATCGAACCCGGGACCCTTTGATCCACAGGCCGACCCTCTATCCACTGAGCCAAACTGGCTAGGGCTGAAATTAAAACTTAAAATTAAAAAGCAGTTTATGGTGGGTTGTCATATTCTAGGCCAGTATCTTCTGACAAAGGTCAATCTTTACCTTAACTGAGCCTATTGTCTTTTTGCATCTATAACATATCTTTGGAATGTCAAAGTAATTTTCCTTTTTCCGGACCCCTCAAAGCACAGGCACCACTCTGCGGAGACCACAAATCCCCTCCGTGTTACTGAGTTCATTGCTGACTGTTAACTATAGTATAGTTACTATACTGCACCCACCTCAGTACCAGTAAAAGAAGTATGGATCTATCATTTAACTTTTTATCCAATCCCCTCCCACACTTTGCTTTCTCCTGCCTCCCTAATCTAACACCAATGGATTTCATGTAACCCACTTATGTCTTCTCTTTTGATTGTAGTTTATAAAACAAGGTGTAAAACTGCCATTTTCCATAGCATTATCTCAATCCGTTGAGATTCTGCTTCCCTGCAATTGTCAGCAGTTTGGGCTCGAGTAAATTCTTTACAGGTTTGAATGTTCCTTACGTTAATAAATGTAAAGTTAATAATGAACCCTACCTTAGAGTTTTTAGGAGCATCAAATGGGATAATGCACTTTCTACACACACACACATATGTATACACACACCTCTTGGTTATAATGAACACCCTTTTCAGGTAAACAGTAATTATTATTGACATTTTCTAAAACCTGCATTTTTGGCATATGCAACGCTCAAAAGAGGAAGAAGAGCTATAAGTTAGCACCGATTACTTCTTCTGGACCACTTTATCCATCTTTAAACCTGAAAGAGCCGAGAACGCCGCGCACACCTGCAGGGGATCCTGCAGGCCACGGGTTTGGGAGAATCTCAGGCTGCGGCCTGAGACGGCTGCGTCCTCTCCCGCCACGTGGACCACGCGGTCACCCCTCCCGACGTGTTCCCCTCCTCCCTCCCCACGGCCTTCGGTCCCGCTCGGAGCCCAGGGACACGCACGGCGCACGGCGCGCCACCCGAAGGCGCACGAGCTCAGCGGCACGCGCCTCCCGCCGCCGCCGCCGGGGGCGCAGGGAAGCTCAGCGGCGACAGTGTCGCAAAAGTGTCGCGAAGGCGCCCTTCCGCCCTTGGCGGCTGCAAGCCACCTGTATAAGAGGAGTGCGCTGGGGTTTGAAAACAAGTATGGAAGTGTCCGAGGTCTCGGGAGGTTGTGGGCGCTCGGTGGGGAAGCGGCTCGTCGGTGCCCCGGGCTGCTAAGCTCCCGCTGCCTGCCTTCCCGCAGCGCGGCCGCAGGGCCATGCTGGCTTCGTGCGTGGCGCGGGGCCCGTGGGGTGCCCTGCGCTGGGCCACATGGGCGTGCGGGGCGCGACCGGGCAAGGGGCGCGCCCTCGGGGCCCTGCTGCCGCCCGCACCCATCTGCCTGGGCTGCCTGGCGGAGCGCTGTTGGCTGCGCCCGGCCGCGCTCGGCCTGGGGCTGCCTGGGGCCGGCCCGCGGGGCCACTGCTCAGGCGCGGGGAAGGCGACCCCGGAGCCCCCAGCCGGAGAGGGCGCCGCCGCGGAGGCCCCGGGCGGCCCAGCGAGTGCCGCCAGCCTGGTACGTACCGAGGGGAAGGGGCCACCCTGGGTCGGGGTCGCCGGCCCTGCGGGCCTCGGACCTGGATGCGAATAACGTGCTTTGACCTGTGCGGGTCGGGCGCTTCTGTTTCAGAACTTTTCAGCCGCTTCCTGGGGAGAAGTGACGGGCAGGTTATCCGGGTCGGATGGACGTGAGAGGTCCCGACCGTGACCCACTTCCGTCTCGGTGGTCTCGGCCCAGAGATCAGGAGTTTAAAAAGATTCCCGGGTGATTCTAATGCGCAGCCAAGGTTGAGAACCACTGGGTTACTAGTAAGTTAGAATTCCCCCCTCCACCCCTTCCATCCGCACGGGTTGCTGGACCGGCCTCGGTGTTGCATTGGTAAAAATAGCCTTCGCTGGCCTAATGAAAGTCTATTTTTAATTTAATGAAGGAAGGGAATCCCCAGTGTTTAGGGAAAGTCCGCGGGAATCATCCGAAAGAGAGACAGGCCGTTCCGTCTGCTTGTGCAGGTTTGGTTCACTGTGACTTGACCTTTGGCGGTCTTCCCTGTGTAAGATGAAGGGTGGGTAACTTAAATCGCAGTTGAAAGATTTCTAAAGCGATTCAATCACAAAAGATGATTAAAGTTCTCTCGAGGTGCCGGAGGGAGATGTTTTGTCTACTTACCTAATGAAATCCTGCCCGAGTAGAAGACACCAGAGCATGGATGTGGGGAGAGCTTTTGATGTCATGTTAGCAAGACTCATGCAATTATTACATCTTCAATTGTTAGGTGTGCAGCGGGCCCCTGTGCTGCCGGCATAAGCTGTGCAGCATGGGTTGAGGTGGCCGCATCCTGCAGGGGTCTCGCCTCCGCGTGCTGGATGCTCGGAGGTGGCCATATGCTGGCTGCAGCCCTTCCCAGAACGGCAGTCGTCGTCGGTCGAGTATGCCGCGGGTTTTGGGTTGGGGAAGATTAGATTGCCCCTCTTGATTTTAATGTAGAAATGTCCAGATGTCATGGTGATAGATTAACGAGGCCATTTGGACCGACATCGTTGATGTGGCTTTAAAAAGAAACCCTTTTCTCTGCCTTCAACCTGGTTTATTAACTCACCCAATGAAACGACCTGGCTGTTTTGCAACTTCGTCTTTAGTTTTGCCCCCACGAATATCTGAGATTAATTCTGGGCCTCTTTATTCTGACCGTTTGCTTTGCTACTCATTTTTCTCAATCAGAAAGTATCACCCCCCCCCCCCCCCCCCCCCCGCCCCTTCTGTGAGTTGTAACATTGAATCGGTATTTGACTTGTTTTGTACCACAGTATGGTCAACAGACTTACTTTTTTTTTTTTTTTAATATATTTTATTGATTTTTTTAGAGAGAGGAGGGGAGAGGGATAGAGAGTTAGAAACATCGATGAGAGAGAAACATCGATCAGCTGCCTCCTGCACACTTCCCACTGGGGATGTGCCCGCAACTAAGGTACATGCCCTTGACCGGAATGGAACCTGGGACCCTTGAGTCCGCAGGCCAACGCTCCATCCACGGAGCCAAACCGGCTCTAAGGCCTTTTTTCTTTCTCTGGACTCTGAAACATGCTGACCATTGAACTTGAGCTGGGAATATACCCCAAGAATGTTTTCCTTTAATGATATAATGTGGTCTGTTTTCAAGAAAAGGTCCTTGGGTAGAGGTTTGTATTGTTTCTCTTTTGGCGATGGTTTCCTGGAGAACCTGAAGTTTTTCTGTAGCTTTCAGAGACAGTGTTCTGCCACCTGATCCTAATAACTAATAACCCCATTATCTTGCCTTGCTGAGGTTTTGTTTAAAAACAGAAACTTAGTATCTTTAGGGAACTCTTGTTCTTACTGGATGGTCCATGGAATCTTTAAAAGATGTCTTTAGAACTGGAATTGATCACTTCAAAAAAAATCAAGATTAAGGTTCAGACAAGTTGATTACTAATTAAGAAAGAGGTTAACTAGGGTTAGTCTTGTGAGATAGTCACATGGGCTAGAATTGGCAGCCTTGACTCACTGGGGTAAAAATCCAGGCTTTAGGGAGAGACATTTTCTTGGTATTATTTCTGTACCCCATTGTACAGGGTGTCTTAGCACCACTGGGCTGAGGCTTTTAAAATTCGAATATTGTTTGGCAAGGAAGGAATGTTCTTCAGAGGAGCTGCTAAGAAGCCCTTTGTTAGTGCCAACTTCAAACAGCTTGGCTTGAAATGAATTTTCAAGGAATCATAAGGCTCCCACAGGGGAGCTGTGAAAGCTCTTAGTTTCTAGTTGGGGATCTTAACATTTCCGTGGCTATTTTGAACAGTTTTTCAAATTTCTCTTTATTTCCTAAGAATTTCAATTCCTATTCCTAGTTCCATTTTCTTTTGGCAGTTCTCCAACTTAGTAGTGAAGTTCTGTAATTCAATGTTTTTCCCCCCTCTTCATTCCGATTAACCGACACTATGTATCATTTAGTATTCTTTTGATGGGTATGTGTAGAGGAGCGAGGGAGATTATTTGCAATAAATATTTTTAAGCCAGAATGTCTGGAGTTGATAATTTGTTCTTTTTTCCTAGACTGTCTACTTGAAGTATAAGAGCTTCTTGAAGTTTGACTTTTAAAAGCAGTGGTGAGGTCATATATTAAAGGCTTGACATATATGGTAGATAATACATGTTTGTTCCTTCTCTCTTTAGGAAGAAACCTATGTGTAGTAGACACTTTAGTCTACCTTTGGGTACATGGCACATCTTCATCTTCTGTATTCTTGACAGTTTTAGAATGATGTCTGTAGAAACAGAAAGGATTTAAAAACTCAATTTAAAATACTAAATTTAAAGTGTATGTAGCTCTCACCCTTAAGCTTATCAAGTGTATTTTTCTCATGTATATATTAATTTAAAGTATAAATTTAAATTTTGTTGTCTTTTTGTTCCAGTATGAAAACCCATGGACAATACCAAATATGTTGTCAATGACGAGAATTGGCTTGGCTCCAGTTTTGGGCTATTTGATCATTGAAGAAGATTTTAATGTGGCACTAGGAGTGTTTGCTTTAGCTGGGCTAACTGATTTGGTAAGTTAGACAGTCATTTCCTCTGTTTTGCTCCCCTCCCGCATCCCAGGGTCTCCACGGCATGGAAACAGCACAGCCTTAGTCTGCTTTTTCTTGGAAGGAAATCCTCAGGATGCATTTCACCTGGCACTTTATTTAAGGCCTTGTCTTTAGCATCTGTGTGGAACTCTATTCTTTATACTGTCTAAGGAAGATAGTGGAGGTTGTATGAAGGCATAGGAGAGGGACTTTTTTACTCCTGCTTTTTATTTATTTTTAAAAAAATATGTTTTTATTGATTTTTAGAGTGAGAGGGAGGGAGAGGGATAGAAAGGTAAAAACATCCATGATTGGCTACCTCCTGCATGCCCATCTTTGAGGTTCGTAGAAACAAAATTTCACCTGCCCAGTAGCTCTGGTGAACAATATGGTATTGGCTGAAGATTTTTCAGGATAAACAAAGGAGGGCATTTGCGTTGTTACATGGCATTTCCAAATATGCATCAAATATAGTTGCAAAATGGCTGCCACTTCTGTTTTTCAGAGTTTAGGTCCTGTTTGTCATAACTTCTCCCCATTCTCACAATCTCTCTTTTATTCCTGCTTTTATCTCTGAAGTCTGTGAAGGCATCCACTCATTATTAGTATGGTCTCCAAGTCTGTCCGAGGTTGTTTATACTGATAATGGAATTTTGTTTTTTCATAACAGACAAGATCTTTTTCAGCTACTTGAGTTGATCTTTTTTTGATGGTAGGTTTTTTTTGTTTTTTTTTTTAGCTGCCACATGAGATTGTAATATTCACTGAATAGGAGGGGCCTCATTTACATTTTTCTAAGTATAAAAGACATTGTATGTGGAAACCTGAGTTAACTGGCACCATATTTCACATTTATTCCATGGAGGTTTTGATGCCTCTAGAATGGCTGCTGGGCAGATGGCTGGACTCATGGGGTGTTTAAGCAGGGGAATGACAAGGCCTGACTTATGTTGTGTGTGGGAAATGGATTATAAGAAGGTGGAAGCAGAGAGGCTGGTTAGGAGGCTTACAGTAATCTAGGGGGGTTGGGAGTTTGGACTAGGGTGGGAGTTTGGAATGGGGGAGAAATGAATGGGTTTGAGATATTTTGAAGATAGAGTTGACACATTGAATTGAATGTGTGAGGTGAGAAAAAGGAGTTAAATATGGCTTTTTAACAAGCAGGTATATTGAGGTTAACATTTTCTGTGATTAACAACACTTAGAGTAGGGTAGGGTTTGTGGAAAAATACCAAGAACTATTATGCCTTTTCAAATAGAGTTATCATTTGGGTAGTTGAATGTAGTTAGTGTGGAGATGGAGGAAGTCGGTGATTAGAGATAGATTTGGGAGTTATCTGCATATGGATGGCCTGGGAAAGTCATCGAAGCTGTGATGGGATCAGAGAAATGAGCAATTAAGTACAGCAATGGAAAGGGAATGAGTAAATGACACCGAAAAGGAATAGCTGGCAAGAAGGAAAATATTAGGCAATAGGGCGTGTCACAGAAGTTAGGTGAGGAAAGTGCTTCAATTTGTGTTGTGGTCAAGGAAGCTAAAAATATAGACTTTATTGGTGACCTTTATGAGCACCCTCTGTAGAGAGGGGACAATCAGAGTGGGCTGGTGGTCAAATGTAGGGTGATAATGACAATAGACATCACTTTGAGGAAGTTTTGCTTTATAGGGAAATAAAGAAATAGAGTCAAGGAAGGGCAGTTTTAAAGATTTTATACACACACACACATACATACTGGAGAAATTTTTCTTCTTAATAAACTAATTAGGTAGGAAGGGAGAGATTGAGGATGCAAGGAAGGAGAATGGCAACTCACAGAAGGTAAGACGGCCTGGGATCAGGTCTCAGGGAAGGTAAAGAGAATGAATGGATGCCGGTAAGTGGTGGATTTGGAGGTGGGAATATGAAGGAGTGCTGAGAGTCTGTTTCTATTTTTCATGGACAATGTAGATATGGTAATGAGCTAGAGTGAGAGGCTTTAGGAAGTATGGAGTTAGTTTGAGGTGAGAGCAGACAGTGTGAAAAGAGAAGGTAAGCAGATTTAGGGTTGCCAGGCAGTATTGAGTGCCCACGGGAGATTTGTGGTCATAAATTTGAAGAGAGATCAGTCAGGCCGACGCCCTATCCACTGAGCCAAACCGGCCAGGGCTATGTGCTTTTCTTGGTCAGTGTTCAGCTGCTTGGGTGCAGGCCTGGCTGGAGCACATGGATAGTTGTGTTTAAGCAGGATTGAGGGAAAGTGGAGTAGGAGTTACAGGTGCTTGCAGAGCAGTGATGATGTTGATGACCTTGAACCTAATGTGGGTAGAGTAACAGTGAGGATAAGAGGTGATGATGGTGAAAAGCTGGGAGGTTAATGTCCCTGAGATCAGAAACTAAACTAAAAGCTGAATCTTCCAAGTTCTAGGCACTTCCTGTTAGCCAGTTTTACACCTAGTCTACCTCAGAAGAAAATAGATTCTTTCAGTTGTGGTAGTAATATCTAATAACTACTTTTTGGGGGGATTTACTAAATGTTGATTACTGAAGACAACCAAGCCTTTGAGGTAGGTAATACTGTCTCTGTTTTCCAGATGAGGAAACTGAGGCTTAGAGGGGCCAAATAATTTGCCCGAGGTCACACAGTAAGTGGGAGAGCCAGAACTTGAATCACTTATGTTCTGTTGCAAACAGCAAGTTCTTTTCTTTCTTTCTTTTTTTTTTTTTTAATATTTTTAAATATATTTCTGTTGATTTTAGAGAGGAAGGGAGAGGGAGAGAGAGTTAGAAACATCAATGATGAGAGAGAATCATTTATCGGCTGCCTCCTGCACACCCTACACTGGGGATCGAGCCTGTAACCCAGGCATGTGCTCTGGCCAAATATTGATCCGTGACCTTCTAGTTCATAGGTCGACGCTCAGCCATGCTGGCTGCCAAACAGCAAGTTATTAACCATTGTCCTGTGCTACTGCTGTCTCCTCTAACTCATTGGAATATTTGAGATATGGAGGACTTATTTATCCTATAAAGATGTACCATGTTAAATTACATCTAAATTAATTTGATTTTTTCCCCTTGGAAATAGAACTAGAAAATTCAAATATTTTTGAAGCTTAAAGTTAAATAAAGTGAGTAAAAGCCAGGTAGGGATTTGGAAAACCAGAAAATATCTGCCTTGCTTAATGAGGATAGGCAATACTTGGTTCAGTCTATTTTGTGACCCCAGAGTGGGCCTGGAGATGTGGATTTTTGTGGTAAGACTTTGAATATTTAAATATTGGCAACTAATTTATATTTTTGAAAGCTCTGGCAGGTCATACAAAGCCAGCCTGTAAGCCCCATTTGGCCCACTGGCAAGCAGGTATGACCTCTGCTTTAAAATATAACTTATTTGCAAGAATATTAAATAAGTAATTTTTGTATCAAAAATTTTAAGTAGGCCAGGCATAGAGGATTGAGCTTTTTATTCAACTATAGGTCATGCAAATGCAGCCAGATGTGGAATTAACAGTGGCACTAAATTTTAAAAAAATTGAAAATAATAACTTAAAACTGAGGGAGTTGGATGGTAGAAGAGTAGGTAGGAATGAGTCTCACAGTTTAAGGGAAGTCCTTGCAAGTAAAAGCAGCTTCAGCCCAATGCTCAAGAGAGGGGCCTCCTAGTCCATGCCCTGTCACACATGCTTTCTGTGAGTTTTGGGGAGATTTCTACATCTCTAAATTTATGTCTGAGTTCATCCCACAGAGGGGCATGGTGGAAACATTGAGAAATACCAGAAGGCCTTGAGAAAGAAAAGTACTGTAAGCAAGTGAAATTATTTTCAGACCAGTTTGTAATTTAAAAGCTAAACATATACCAGTGAAAGAATGAGAAGGTTTGGGGATAAGAAACAGAAGAGATTTTACTTACATTTTATGAAAGTATAGTTGTTATCCTGGTATCTCTTCAAGATAACTACTCTGTGCCTATTATGACATTTATTTAAAAACAACAACTTCTATTTTCAGTTGGATGGATTTATTGCTCGAAACTGGGCCAGTCAAAAATCAGCTTTGGGAAGTGCTCTTGATCCACTTGCTGATAAAATACTTATCAGTATCTTATATGTTAGCTTGACCTATGCAGATCTTATTCCAGGTAAGAACACCGTCATGCGCACTTTTTATAGCATAGGGAAGAAGGACATTCATCAGCTTAGGATTTCTCTTGATAGACAATTTTTGTCCCCAAAATATCTTCTTTAAATTTTAAACTGTTTCCTTAATTCTAAACTATTGAACTGTTTGGTTTGTCAAATTACTTGTTTTACTTTAGAATTTATGTCCTTATTATAGTAGTACAATTCATTTAGTAAGATTGCTTAAAGTTAAAATTGAGCAAATATTTCATAGTGCCAATTCCCATTACTCTAGAATGTTTTGAAACCATGTTATATATTCTTAGCGCCTAGCTTTTTGAAAACAATTTGAAGTTTTCCTTAGTACAATTTAATCATAATAAATGAGAGGTCTGAAACCCTGAAGATGTCTAAAATGTCACCTTGTTTTTACTTAGATGCTATTGTGCAGTTTCAGATCATGCATGTTTGTACAGTACGTTATCTGAATGCGCTTTCTCACACAACATTTTGATCTTTTGCCTTGTGTTTTGCCTGTGCGTTTCTGGTTGTTCATTTTCACTTTACCTGCATTTCTTAGTTTTTCTCCCTTGGTTCAGTTTAAACTATTTCCAAGAGTTTGGAATAGAATCTGAGAATAAAGAAGCTGCCACATGGTCCTTCAATAAATAGCATGTATTGTTAACATTTGAGAGGAAGAAGTTTCAGACTGGTATAGAATCCTCTATCTTCTAGACATTGTTTTTCTCCTCTACCTTAAGGCTTTTAAATCCCCATACCAAATTAAAAAATGAATTGGACTAGTGGTTATATTTATGTGCTTCTTTGAAAGTCAGAATTGTGTTAGTATATGATTGGTGGTGTTGAAGGGGCAGGAGTAGTCTCAAATAAATACAAATATTTTGTAGGGAAAAAGAGCTAAGGAGCATTCTGTTGACATTTTTAAAAATTGAAATGATCTTGTGTACTTTTGTGCTTCCCATTTTTCAAAGTTATTTTTTAATATTTTGTTTTATTTACAAAAGTTAGCCAGGTATTTCCCTATTAAACTTAGCATTGTTTCCGGGTTTTGTTGCTCTGAGCTTTACCTAAATAATTGGTGTAGGTTGGTGGTCGGCAAACTGCGGCTCGTGAGCCACATGTGGCTCTTTGGCCCCTTGATTGCGGCTCTTCCACAAAATACCAACTTCTGCGCATGGGCCACGGAGTTTCAATCTCACTGTACATGCGTGCCCGCACGTGGTATTTTGTGGAAGAGCTAAACTCAAGGGGCCAAAGAGCCGCAGTTTGCCGACTACTGGTGTAGGTTGTTTTCCAAACTGAGACTTTGCTTCACTATCATTCTGGAAATTTCCATGATCTCCCTTGTGTATTAAGTCAGTTTTTCCAGGCTCCTGTGGGTGGCTTCCTTGTAAAGGTCCTTCTGTTGATGGAGGGCCCCATTTCCTATGTAAAGATGCAGTGTGGCAGCCACATTTTCAGAGCTCTAAAATGTCTTTATTCTAAGACATAAAAAATGTCATCTAAAAGACATCTGAAATGTTGTTATTCTATTCTTCCTACTTGATTGAGGAATTGTGGAGCTCCTACTGGTCTTTCAGTTCTCAAAGTCTTCTGATGGCAGACTTGACTGTGATGGCAGAAGTGGTGTTATAGGTCCAGGCACCATCAGCTACTGTTTTCATGCAGAAACTGCAGTCCAGATCCCCAAGCTTGTCTCTCTTCATCTGGGTTTTGCCACAGGAGGAGCAAGTCTATTTGGCATGCTGGCTGATCTCAGTTTTCTTCACCACTTTCCTGAGGGAGGCGTCATAATGGGTTCCATACTGACCAGCGATTCCTACCTTCTTGGTGCATTTAGCCATGTTGTTGCAAACCAAAGTCAAAACCCAGAGAGCTGGCTCAGTTTTGAAGACACTATTCTATAGACTTCCAGATTCCATCTTGCTGTTGACAGTCTCATGGCATTCTGATACTTTTCCCTTACATGTGTTTATGTTTTATATTGAAAAGCTTTTAAGTGTCCTTTTTACATTTTCCCAGTTGATGTTTTAAAAAAAGATACCGTTCTTAAAAATTAAGTTTATTTCTCTGGATACCGAATTATCCCAGGACGTTTTGTTGAAAAGTCTGTACTTTCTCCAGGTTCACTTCAATGACCATATGTACATGGGTTCATTTCTGGGTTGCTTAGATTTTTCCCCATTGATTTGTCTGTCTTTGTACCAGTACTATTCTTAATTATTATTACTTTGCTAAATGTCTTGATATCTGGTAGAGCAAGTCCTTCTACTTTTGGTATTCTTATCCCTTTCCGTTTGTGAATTTTAGAATCAGTTTTTCAAGTTCCTCCCAGAAAATCCTGATGGGATTTTAATTGGAATTGCATTAAATTTATAGATTTGGAAGAATTGGCATCTTTACAACTTGAGTCTTCCAGTCCACATATATGATATATCTGCTCTATTTGGGGCTTTTGAAAATGTCAAAATGTTAGTTTTCTCTAGAGCAGTCATAATTTTTTATTAGATTTATTTCTAGGTACTTGATAGTTCTTGATGCTTTTATAATTGGTAGCTTTTTATATTTCATTTTGTAATAACTTTGTTAATAGATGAAAGTTAGTTCTATTTCTAATGTTGATTTTTGTGTCTGGTAACACTTGTTAAACTCTTATTCTAATGATTAAAATGTAAATGAAGTCTTGGGTTTTCTGTATCCTCAATTATGTATTGTCTATAATTAATGACAGTATATGTTTTCTTTTCCAGTTCTTTTGCCTTTTCTTTTACTTGCCTTACTCCACTGCTCAGTACAGTGTTGAATAGGAGTGGTATCTGTGTCTTAGTCCCAATCTCAAAGGAAAGCTTTCAACACTTCACTATTAAATATGACATTTCCTGTAGGGTTTTGTAGATACCCTTTTTCAGGTTAAGGGGTTTGCTCAGAGTTTCTATTGCAATCGAATGTTAAATTTTATCATGTTTTTCTCGTGTATTATAGCAATCATATTTTTTCCCTTTAAGCTGTTTATGTGTGGTGGAATTGCATTCTTGATTTTCTGATGTTACACCATTCTGAAATTTCTAACTTTGTTGTTATATATTATGAAGATATTGCTGGATTTGGTTTGCTGGTATTTGTTGATGGTATTTTGTTGATGATTTCATATAGATCCATGAGATTGGCTTAGAATTCTTTTCTCCAGATAGCCTTGTTAGGTATTCGCATCAAGTTATACCAATCTCATAAAACGAGTTGGGGAGTCTGGTTTTTTTCTCTCCCCATTCTTGGGAGATGTTTGTGTAAGATCGCAATTATTCTTTCCTTGAGTTTTCATTGCTTTTCTTTTTCTAAATTATTTAGACTGGTTCAGTCCCAGTATGCAAATGAGGGAGGCAAAAATTATAAGGAAGGAGGTAAACGCCGAGTGCGTCCATTTGGCAGTTGTTATTCCGGATGTTTATTGCTTGGCCTTCAGCTGAAGTTTAGCAACAGGTTTAGCAATTTACTAGCAGCTCTGAGAACTGAAAGATATGTATAGTCCTCACTTCCTTACTAGCCTCCTAACTCTGTTTTAAGTGAATCAGTGTTTATTGTTTTACTATTTTTCATTATAATCACCATGTTGTATATCATTATGTCTTAGTCATCTTAAAACTGAAAGTTTGTCCCATTGCCACCCTCTTCCTATTTCTCCCATCCTGCAGTCTCTGGAAACTACTTTATTACTGTGTCTGAATTCAGTATTTTTTAAGATTCCACATATAAGTGGTGCCATGTAGTATTTGTCTTTTTCTGTCTGATTAACTTTTTTCTTGAAGGATATTTTTGCTGAGTATACAGTTCTGTGTTGGTAGTTATTTTCTCTGAGCACACTTAATTTTAGAGAGTAAGGGTAAGGAAGAGAGAGATAGGAACATCAGTGATGAGAGAGAATCATTGATCGGCTGCCTCCTGCATGCCTCCCCTTGTCCCCCAGTTGGAGACTGAGCCCACAATCTGGGTACATGCCCTGACCAGGAATTGAACAGTGACCTCCTGGTTCATAGTTTGATGCTCAACCACTGAGCCACACCAGCCAGGCAATCCATGTCTTTTTTAAGGAAATCTTTTTACTTTGAATGCTTTTAAGATTTCTTCTTTGTCTTTGGTTTTCCACAGTTTCACAATAATATTTGTGAATATGAGTTTCTTTTTTATTTATCTTGTTCAAGACTTGTTGGGCTTTGTAATCTGTGGATTGACATTGTTAATCAGTTCTGGAAAATTCTTAGCCTTAATCTTCAGATATTGCTATTGCCTATTTTTCTCTTCTCTTGGGAACGTAGTGTACGTATGTAGACCTTTTCACAGTATCTTCTAGTTGTCTTAGCCTCTTTTCTGTATGTTACCTTATTTTATTTTTCTGGGCTCCATTTTGGGTGCTTACTAATGTCCTTGCTCATTCAGTTCCCCAGTTCTCTCTTTAGCTGTGCCAAGTTTATTTAATTATTTTATTGTGTTTTCCAGTTATAGAATTTCTATTTTATTCTTCAAACTTACTAAATTGTCTTTCATAGTTTTCAGTTCTCAGCTGAAATCTTTGTTTTTATATCCCTTTGAAAACAATAAATTCAGTTATCTAATAGACTCTTATAATCCTAAAATTTTGCCCAGCTGATGTGGCTCAAGGATTGATTGTTGACCAATACACCAAGAGGTTGCCAGTTTGATTGCTGGTCAGGGCACATGCCGGAGTTGTGGTTTCAATCCCCAGTAGGGGGCCTGCAGGAGGCAACCAATCAATGTTGATGTTTCTCTCCCATCAATATTTTTCTCTCTCTCCCCCTCTTCCATCCTTTCTCTCTAAAATCAATAAAAACATATTTAATTAAAATTCCTATCTTTTGAGGGCGGGTTTCTTTCATTTGTTGTTTCTGTTGATTCTTACTCATGGTATCTTGTGAGTTTGGTTATTTTGACTGTTTAGTCATTATATTAATGTTTGAAAAATAATTTGGAGGAATATTTTTATGTTTAGGATGATGGCATTATTCTCTAAGGAAGATTTTTTTGTTTAGTCCTGCTAGGTGCTTAGGCATGCTAAGAGGCTAGGACCCCCTAGATCAGGGGTGAGGAACATCCAGTCCGCAAGCTGTATAAGGCCCGTGAAATCATTTGTTCTGGCCCTGCCAAGGCACTAGGGGTGAGTTAATTAAATGTTTGAGCAAGTAAGTATAGCAGGCTAATTTTTAAAAAATATATTTTATTGATTTTTTTTACAGAGAGGAATGGAGAGGGATAGAGAGTTAGAAACATTGATGGGAGAGAAACATTGATTAGCTGCCTACTGCACACACCCTACTGGGGATGTGCCCGCAACCAAAGTACATGTCATTGACCGGACTCTAACCTGGAGCCCCTCAGTCCGCAGGCCAACGCTCTATCCACTGAGCCAAACCAGTTAGGGCAGCAGGCTAATTTTTAAGTTGATGATTTTGTATGGCCCAAGAATGTTGTTATAAATATCCAAATGGCCCTTGGCAGGAAAAAGGTTCCCACCCCTGTCCTATATTGTCCGATGGTGAGACATTTAGTACTGTCTCCTCTCCCAGTACTGAGGGATAGTCCTTCAGCCCCCAGCTCAGAGCTCTGAGGTGGTTTATCAAACCCCAGCCTCGAGGGTTTGACTGCTGGCCCCCCAGACCATCTGAGACTACCAACAATTCTTTTCAACTTTGTGTCTTGTGTCCTAGGAGTAGGGACAGTGGCTTTGAGTATCTAGACCAGGGGTGGGCAAACTTTTTGACTCGAGGGCCACAATGGGTTCTTCAACTGGACCGGAGGGCCGGAACAAAAGCATGGATGGAGTGTTTGTGTGAACTAATATAAATTCAAAGTAAACATCATTACATAAAAGGGTATAGTCTTTTAGTTTTATTAATTTCAAACGGGCCACGGGCCGTAGTTTGCCCACGGCTGATCTAGACCTATCTGTCTGTCTGTCTGTCTGTTTGTTTTATTTTATTTATTTTATTTTTTTGAGTTCTCACTCTAACAGGCATTATCTGACACTTTCTTAGCATCTTGTAAGCAGCTTTCAGAATTTTTTGTTGTTGTTGTTGTTCTTTAGTTGTATTAGTAGGAGGATATTAGTCAGATATTAATGGAAGCTGAGTCCCAGGATCTTTTCATTGTCCTTGTAGTTCTGAAATTTTACAGTGGTATATGCTCTAGATCAGCGGTTCTCAACCTGTGGATAGCGACCCCTTTGGGGGTCAAACGACCCTTTCACAGGGGTCGCCTAAGACCATTGGAAAACACATATATAATTAACTATTGTTTTGTGATTAATCACTATGCTTTAATTATGTTCAATTTGTAACAATGAAAATACATCCTGCATATCAGATATCTACATTACGATTCATAACAGTAGCAAAATTACAGTTATGAAGTAGCAACGAAAATAATTTTATGGTTGGGGGTCACCACAACATGAGGAACTGTATTAAAAGGTCTTGGCATTAGGAAGGTTGAGAACCACTGCTCTAGATCCTACTCAAATTTGGTGTGAGTCTTTCATTGTGCTGGGTTTTAAGGAGTCCCCTTCAGTCTGAAAACTCCAATTCTGAAAATTGTTTATGTCTTTGATAATTTTCTATCCTATGTTTTCTTGGTTCTCTTCTTTCTGATATTCTTAATAATATGTAAGAAATATTTAAAGCAGTGCTTAATAAATTACAATTTTGGTGGTTAATAGAACTGGGACCTGAGTCTGTCTATATATATATATATAATTTTCCTTTATTGAATAAGATATTACAAATGTGTCCTTATCCCCCCAATGTCCCCTCATCCCCCCAATCCTGCCCTCACCCTCACCCCCTGTTGTCCACATCCATCACTTATGCTTAAATGCATGCATACAAGTCCTTTGGTTGATCTTCCCCCCTCACCTACCCTCCCCTGCTTGGACCTGAGTCTTTGTAGTGTATCTCCTCTCCTGCTGAAATCTCTTATTTAGGATTAAGGCATACTCCTTTTTCCCCCATGGTGATGAAATACATTACCAGGCACTTATTCTTGTTTGATGTTATGTTTAGGAGATTTATTATATGTAATTTGCCTGAGTTTGCTGCATTTTAAAATCTGGTTGCTGTTAGGTGGTGCTAGCTAATTATTGCTATGAAAAGGTTGTTGTACAGTCACAAAAATGTACCTAAAAATCATGGCAGTTGGCTTTTGTTACTTGGTTCATATAACTGTATCATCTGTGTATTTCAAATGCCATGAGTTCCATGGAGAACCACTTTCTCTTTGGAGAAATCTAGTCATCCAGGACTAGGCCAAGGATCAACACTTACATCATAGCTGTGACCAGCAGAGATTTAAAATTTAAATCTGTAATTCTTTAGTCAGATTTTTCTCAAGTTGCAAAATCAACAGAATGTCAAAGCTAGAAAGGACCATAAGTATAGCCTCAAAAGTAATTCACAAAAGAGCTGTTTGAAAGTATTACGGAAAGGGGGATATACAGGGATTCTTTATTTTAGTAATTGGAACATTTTGAACTGTGTTTTAGCCTCAGGATTTTTTCTCCTTAAAAAAAAAATAATTTTCCCCTTATGAAATTGATACATGTTGATGGTTAAGACTTCTTGCAGCACTGAAGGATATAAAGTGAAACAAGTCCTCTGCCCTCCCATTCTCACTCCACAGGGAGTAGTAGGGGCTCCTTGGCATCCATCTAAAATATCCATCTGCAGGCTCTGCCTCTGGGGTCATGCTGTAGAATCTAAGGAATAATGAGAAAGTATTGACAAGTTGAATTCATGTTTAGTTAGAATTCACTGAATGAAAGGGGCAGGAGAAAAAATAGCAATTGTTGGGGTAGGAACCGGCCCAGACAAGAATGAGAACATTTTGTTTCTTCACAAGTGGTACATATAGCAAATTTTATTGTTTTTAAAGTTGCCTAGAATGCAGAAGCAAGCAGTCAAAGGGCCTGAGACCCCAATATGATTCGAACCCTGACATCCTTTCCAACCTCTTTACTATTTTATCCCATGTACTTATAGTGAGCGTGGTGATCTTTCCCCCCAAACTTGCAAAGCTGAGAATTAACAGAAGTGGTTAGAGCTGAGTAAAGCTGACACTGATAACTAACTGCAGCTTAAAACATGTGCAAGAAAAACAAAACAGAAGGAGGCCTAGAAGGTCAACATTCTGAAAGGCAAACTTAGACTTTGAAAGCCGTAGTTTCTTTTCACTTTGTTTTGAGTGCATGTAAAAGAAGATAAAAATAAGTGGTTCACTTTAAGGATCCTAAACTTTCAATAGATATTTATAAAAAAATGAAAATTTTTACTTATGAAAAACACCCGTTTATGGTAAGGCTTATCAGAAACACCAGTTTATGGTAAGGCTTCACTGTATGTGTAATATCTTAGTCATTTTAAAAATCCCAACCAAAATTATTTTATTTTTGATTTTCAGTTCCACTTACTTATATGATAATTTCAAGAGATATAATGTTGATTGTTGCTGTTTTTTATGTCAGATATCGAACTCTTCCAGAACCGGTGAGTTTATTTCAAAGAAAATGTTCTTTTATTATTACTTAGCACTTAAGGGGGAAAAAAGAATCACTCTGTTGTATACCGAGTTTCACTTTGTGGGGATAATTTATGGCAGTTATTTTTTAGAAATCTATTTGCTAAGAATTTTTCAAAAAACACACATTCACTGTCATCTTGCTTTGGTAGTTTTCAGTGAACACAATAGTCAATTTAAAACAGACATGCTTTTGTTTTAAGTCCAAATCCTTTCAGTTGATAGCACATAACTAAACTGCAGCTTAAAACCCAGACCAGCTCCCCCCATCCAAGCTCTATTAGGAGTGTTTGCATAACGAAGCCCTTTTCGCTATCTAATTGAGCCCCTACTATGGCTTGTCTAGAACTGATTTTTAAAATCACAGCTGTATGGGCATGGGGTGGTTAATTTGTATATTTGTTTACTGGTTTTACAAATATTTGAGCACATAAGCATAGCATAATGACCTCATCTTTTGGCTCCCAACTCAGTGAACATAGCAGTATTTTATTTATTTTGTGTTTTTAATCTATAAAAGAGAATAGTAATAGGGAAGTTTATTGAATTTTTTAGTAGAAAGAGATAGACCGATTTTATGATAGTTATCTTGTTAGTTTTTTAGGAATTGACAAATCTATGGGTTTTTAAAATCTATTTTCAGTAACCCATGTATAATTTATAAAGAACGGAGATAATGCTTATTTAGGAAAATAGAAAGTGCAGATAAAGGGCTTATTGTAGCATAGAGCCAGGCCTGTGGTAAGCATTGAGTAACTGTTAACCTACGTATAATAACAACATGTTTATTTGAAATTGAATGCTAAATTGAGTAAATTTTTTATCTTTTTTGTCCTCTGCCAGCGAACACTTTCTAAGTATTTCAATCCTTGCTATGCTACTGCTAGGTTAAAACCAACCTTCATCAGCAAGGTAAGAGACACACAGCGTCCCTTTAAGCTTATTACACTGAATATAAACCTCAGTCTGGAGCAGCTGAAAATGAGACAAACTTAAATGCATTGGCTGTAGTGGATAGAGAGTGGGGTCATTAACCCAATATTTTTGTTCTCAAAGCTTTTGTAATTTTTAGTATATGTGCTGTGTTTTGTGGTGGTGGTCTGAGAATATAAGATGGGGTAATAGGGCCACCATTTAGGGAAAGTAGACACAAAGAGGTTATGAAGGTTCCTTTCTGGTTTCACCACCCACCTCCCTTTGGTGAAAACAACTTATAATAAGGTTGTTTCCTTTTCAAGTTCGATTGTTACATGCAAAGGGATAGGAGAAAGTTTATTCACAATTTAATAAACAACTGCTTTTCTAAGTCTCCATCCCGTTTTCCTGAGCCACTTCAGGGTTATAGCTGTGTGCCGATCTTTGCACACAGAGAGGACACTGTTAATGGCTCCCAAGGCACATGTATTTTTCTGTTGGCCTTGATAAGTTTCCTCTGCTCATTCTTGTGTCCCATCCTTTGTAGTGGCAGTTTATTAGGCTGGCAGTGCCTGTCATCTTTGGAACAGAGGGGTGATGACTTTTACTTATTTATTATTTTTAAATTTATTTAATAAATATTTTTATTGAATTTTAGAGTGAGAGGATGGGAGAGGGAGAGAGAGAGAGAGAGAAAGATTGATGTTAGAGTAAAACATCTATTGGCTGCCTCCCACATGCCCCCTACTGGGGATCAATCTGAAACCAGGGCATGTGCCCTGACTGAGAATCAAACCAGCAGCCTTTGCTTGCACAAGACGACCCCTAACCAACTGAGCCACACCAGCCGGGGGCTGATTACTTTCAAACCAGAAATTCCCTGGGTGGAACTTTATCTATATATGTGGGTTTTTATTTTATGTTTTAAATTCAGGTGACTTATATTTGTGTCACAGTAATTTGATACAGATAGGAAGTGGCTTAAAGAAGTGGACGGACAAATACCTCAAATCCTCGGTCTTGCAAGAAGTTCTCCAGGCAGTTTTTATTATTTATTTTTAAAACAAATTGGAATTCTTATAATTTGGCTGCAGAATGGATGATAGAACATAGGTGCTTCTTAAGGCACACCACCCGCTGATTCACTGTCACCCACTCTTCCCCAGGCACTTTTCAGGATGAGTAGAGGGAGTCTTCAGTGTATTTCTGGTTCTGTTTCTGTTTCTTCCTTTGTCCTCCATGTTGTCTTTTAGGGTAGGGGATCCTCATTTACTCCAGAGAGCCTCTCATGGAGATGAGTGCATTTCAGTGTTCTAACCTCATGAGTTTGATAGGCAGGCAAGCGATAGCACTGAATGAAGTGCTGGGAAATCTGGGTTCTAGGTTAAGATATGTAACCTGCTGTGATTAATGGCAAGTCACTTTACTAATTGCATTACCTTTTCATCTGTAAAATTATTTCCGTAGTCACAGGGCTGTTTTAATGACTGAAATAAAAGGCAAAGAACTTTGCAACATTTTGAATTGCTATGGAAATGCAAGATAGTGGTATTTTCTGACAGTTGCCCTTCTCTTTGCTGTGAAGAGCAGCTGTGCAGACAAATGGGCCAGTTGGTGAAATTCACGCCTTTGTGTGAATGCCAGCTTCTTTGGCAGGAATATTAGAACATTAAACATGTTGAGGGTATGTTGTGTTTCTCTGTCTTGTAAGCTTGAAACAGGATCTGGTTGGCACTGTTCATGCATGACTTTTTTTTTTTTTTTTTTAGGTAAACACAGCAGTCCAGTTAATCTTGGTAGCAGCTTCTTTGGGAGCTCCGGTTTTCAATTATGCTCACGGCTTTTATCTTCCAATACTCTGGTAAGCTAAATTTAGTATTACCCTGTGAGAATGTCAACAAAATGGTTTATTGTGGTAGTCCTAGAATTACTTTGTTCTTATAGTATTGATTGAGCACCAACCAGGTAAAGCTATGGGTTGTGTTTTATGGTTGATATTCTTAAGAAGCTTACTATCAAATACGGGGTGTAGAAGTTATATTTGAGGAGTTTTCATGCAAGTTAAAGGGGATGAGAGGTACAGATGATACGTTGGGATTTCAGAGGAAGGAAGCCATTTCCAGGTGGGAAGAAGAGGGACAGTTTGAGGGATGAAGTGGCATTTGAACCATGAGGTCTGGGTGGATTTTATATAGGGAGAGACTGAGGGGAGGCCATTTTGGTGAAGGACAGACCCTGTGCAAAGTCGAGTGTAGGAGAGTGGGCAGGGAAGTGTGTCCAGCCTAGTGAAAGGGCTGTTGTGGAGGGAAACTTGGAGAAAGGGTTTTGAATTTTATTTTATTGTGCTTATTATAGCCTTTAACTATGTCAAATTCAAACTCTCAGAGTTTGGATGTGTCACACTGATATTGAAGCAATGCATCTTAGTATACTTTTTTTTTTTTTAATATATTTTATTGATTTTTTACAGAGAGGAAGGGAGAGAGATAGAGAGTTAGAAACATCGATGAGAGAGAAACATCGATCAGCTGCCTCCTGCACATCTCCTACTGGGGATATGCCCGCAACCCAGGTACATGCCCTTGACCGGAATCGAATCTGGGACCTTTCAGTCCGCAGGCCGACGCTCTATCCACTGAGCCAAACCGGTTTCGGCATCTTAGTATACTTTTAACGCTATAATTAAAACCTCCTTGCTTGATGCAGTCTGAGTCAGAAAATGGTTGGTTAATCAGTCAGTTAAGCTAAAGAAGCTTTAGAAATTATGCACACACTAAATCTTTTCTAAAATACTAGAGGCCCGATGCACAAAATTGGTGTGGGGGAGGGGGGAGGAGTGTCCCTCAGCCCATCCTGCACCCTCTCCAATCTGGGACCCCTTGGGGGATGTCCGACTTCCGGTTTAGGCCCGACCCCTGTGGGGATCGGACATCCCTCTCACAATCTGGGACTGCTGGATCCTAACTGCTCGCCTACCTGCCTGCCTGATTGCCCCTAACCGCTTTTGCCTGCCAGCCTGATCGCCCCCTAACTGCTTCCCTGCTGGCCTGATTGACGCCTAACTGCTCCCCCCCCAGCCTGATCACCCCCAACTGCCCTCCCCTGCCAGCCTGATCGCCCCCAACTGCCTTCGCCTGCCGACCTGATCTTGCCCGCAACTGCCTTTCCCCCGCAGGCCTGGTCCCCCCAACTGCCCTCCCCTGCCGGCCCGATCTCCCCCAACTGACCTCCCCTGCTAGCCTATTGGCCCCAAACTGCCCTCCCTGCCAGCCTGATCGCCCACAACTGCCCTCCCCCGCCGGCCATCGTGTGACAACGTGAGGGTGGCGATCTTGTGGCGGCCATCTTGTGATGATGTCACGCAAGGGCGTGACGCCACCTAGGCTTTTATTATATAGGATATGTAAGTGTACAATGATTCTTATTCATTCTACATCTTCTGAATAAGACCAACACCTTTTCTTTGAATACATCTCTGATTTTCATGTTCTGCTTATTTTAAAGTGATGTAAGACTTTAAGACATTTACAAAGCAATCTGAATATAAACTTTCTAGATTTTGTAACATTTTCTCTAGTATTTTAATAGCCACATTACCTGTTTACTTTATAGTATTTTTTTAAAAATATATTTTATTGATTTTTTACAGAGAGAAAGGGAGAGGGATAGAGAATGAGAAACATCGATGAGAGAGAAACATCGATCAGCTGCCTCCTGCACACTCCCCACTGGGGATGCGCCCGCAACCAAGGTACATGCCCTTGACCGGAATCAAACCTGGGACCCTTGAGTCCGCAGGCCGATGCTCTATCCGCTGAGCCAAACCAGTCAGAGCTACTTTATAGTATTTTTTAGCAACTTGGCTGGTTATCAAGTCTTTCCAAAGCATCCACTTAGTTCTCAGAAACAGCAGCTTTTCCTACATGTATTTTTCATTGGTATGTGTGAATTTAGAATATTTAACTGGCATGAACAGCTTTGGGATCAAATAAAAATAGTCTGGAGGGTCCTACACCTCACCTGGTGGAGCAGAAGTGCACGATGCACTAAGAAGTACCCTGTTGGCTGTGAGCATTCAGCAAGCCATGAGCACCACTGATCTAACTTCCAGGAGAAAGTCGGGTCAGTCTGGCAGTTCGCTTAAGGAAGAATCAGAAAAGAAAACTGAAATTTATTTTAAATGACTCAGATTTCAAGAAATAGAGTCTAAGACTCTCAGCAGCATGGAGTAGTAGAAAGGGCACATGGCTCCAGAGTTGAAGCCAGGCCAGGCTATGGTGTGGTTCCGTGGTCCTGACCAACTTCTCTGTTGTGAAAATAATATCTATATATATAAAAAGCCCAATATGCAAAGTGTCCCCTCAGGAGTTCGACCGACCAGTACTTTGATCACTTGCTATGACGTGTGCTGACCACCAGGGGCGGAACGAAGGGAGGCCTCAGCCGGCAGCTGGGGAAGGGAGGCCCCGGCTGGCAGCCAGCAGCTGCTAGGGACCCTCCCCATGCACGATTTCGAGCACTGGTCCTCTAGTGAGAATATAAGACACCTAGAGTGATGTCTGGGTAAAAATGACAATTGCTGGGATTATCATTATGTTCTTGGGCTCAGGAACTAGATTTGTTTGACGTTACTAATTCGAATGAGGTCTTAAAGAAAAGCAGTGTATTTAAATTTTTGTAGTTAAAAATAATTTTGTACCACACAGCCTTTTTTACTTTTTAAATAATTTTAAGGTATTTTTTTTTTATCACTCTCATAGTTACTGATCTTTACTTGACAACTAAATTTTCTTTTTTTCCATTAAAGGTGTTTTACAGCTTTCACCACAGTTGCATCAGCTTACAGTTATTATCGTTACGGTCGGAAAACTGTTCAGGTGATAAATGGCAGATGAAGGTCATCCGCCATCATTAGCAAGGAAGCAATATACATCATTGGCAGCAGGGCCAGTGGAAATGTACAGGAGTCTCCCTACTTTGAAAAAGGACTTGTCAGATCAAACCATGTCATCAGTATTTAATGTGCATTGAAAATAAGCTTGATCATGGGCATATGCAGAATTTCCAATGTATTTTTAAATACAAATAAAACTATCATTTAGAATTTTTTACCTTAGGTTTCTTGATTAACTTATAAGGAATCAATTCCAATTATTGTCAGTCATTTTTTAATATTTTTTTTAAAAAGTAGTGTCCAGAGCATGGAAACTGGAGAATTGCCACTTCTCTTTAATAGAACTTAGATTGCTCTCAATGCATTGGGGAATTTCCTAGGTTTATATGTAGCCTACGCAAGGCTATACAACTTTAAGTTTAATTTGATCAGTATGTATATTAACAGTTAATGTGGTTAATAGTTGATCATTTAGGCTAATGACAATAAAGGTACCTTAGTTGTAGATGAAGTAAACTTGTAAAGAGATTATAAAGATCAAAATAGAAGGTATTGAAGTTCATATTCAGTAGTCTTCCAACCTCTCAGGTGCCTAATAGTTTATCAGGATAACAAGTAACAGAAGTAGTTGGAATAATAAAACATATCCATGAGCCTACACCCTCCAGGAGGCGGTGAATTATAGCATGCCTTCCCACTGTATTTCTAACATGGCAGTGTTTGTATGATACTGGAATCTGTACTCATATGTATATAATATAAAACTGTATTTTTTAAAGTTTGGGGAATATTCTTTTGTTAAGATGTTAAAAGAATAAAAAAGCTGGAAAACAGTATACCTTCATCTTGTGTTGTTTGTATAGCATATTATAGTTCTTGGTTGTGTAAGTTTTCTGATTCATAACGTTCATTCTGATACATCACTTGCACTTGCATTGAAAAAATAATTGGTTTGGGACCATCTGACTTAAAAGCCCTTATTCTCACTACACCGGCATGTTTAGGAGAATGGGAGACAAGGGTCAGTGCTGTGCTTCCTCTTATCAGTGGAGGCCTGTTGCTGCATGTTGTTCCAGGTTCTAATTTCAAGTGTAATGTGGAATTATTTAGATAATGTGGTTATCTAAACAGCCTGTTGAGCTGTGTTAAAATGGGCAGCTACAAGCAAAATTCATGCCTCTTGGTGGTATCCTTGTATCGGTGTGCCCCTCTGTTGCCTGCTGGCCCTGGCTTCCTTGTTCCCAAGCTAGCTGCTCAGCCACCATTGGCTTGGAGCACACTGAAGCCTGCAGGCAGGGACACTGCCACTGAATCGATGGAGGGCCTTGAGAGGGAAGAGAAGGGTGCTGTGTGACTGGTTCTTTCCTTCCGGAACCTCCTGTATAGTCTTAGTCTGGGAGGTGGTGAGGCTGAAGGCAGAAGTCTGTACCACCCAAGAGGCACACTGAGCATGTCTCGACACTAGCAAAATGTGAGCACACTGAAAAGGTATTCCAGAAAGAGAACTCGAAACAAAGTAGTTATGGAGAAACTAGGATTTGCACTTCACTGTGCTTATTTGCAGTTCATCGTCGATGCTGTTTGGAGTGACTTACGGGTTGCCCTCATGGTCTCTGTAGAATCAAGGCCTTATTGGGTGTGGTTAGCACATTGCAGGCGGGTCACGAGAATTCTCGTGTTTTCTGTTCTAAAGCTTGTGGCCAATCACCCGAATTCTCGGCTTTTCATTGTCATTTAGAGAGAAATTGTAACGGGAAACACGTTCGCTGAAGTTAAAAATTACAAAAGGAATTAAAAGTGATTAGTCTCTTGTTGTTAGTAATAAAAATAACTTTTATATCAATTTTGTATTTTTAAAGTGTTCGGTAACCATGGATAGTGATGAAGAACATGATAAAAGTCTGGATAGATTTGCTGACTATCAGATATTTCAAGTGAAAGTGATGAAAGCTTTGACAGTGGCAGTGATACAGTTATTCCTTCAAAAAGGAGAAAATTAGTAATTTCAAGTGATTCTGAACCTGAAAATTTGAACAATTCCACATGATTTTGAGCGTAATTTGCGTCTTGGTTGCCAAGATAATGATTGGTCAAAAGAGGACTTTCAACCTAATTTGGAAAAATTTGAAGGTAATTCTGGGGTTACAGTTATACCGTCTGATTCTAAGAACATCATTGAAGTCACCAACTTGATTTTTGATGATCTGTTTGAACTGTTTTGTCATCAGTTGAACATATAACCAAAATTTGGGAAAGCACAAAATTTAAAAAGCAATAAAGTGGTCTCCTGTTACTCCAACAGATATGAAAAATTTTTTAGGACTTATAGTGCTAATGGAGCATACTCGAAAGGATACTTGGAAAGAATATTGGTCTACAAATCCAGTTCTAGCTGTTCCAGTATTTCCTGAGACAATGAGTCAAAATCATTTTGAACAAATCTGGACTTATTGGCATTTCAATGACAATGCAAACATGACTAAATCTTCAGGCTATTTAAAATTCAATCTGTACTCCACCACTTTATTAGTAAATTTCAAACAATATATACAACTATGCTAGAATTATCATTAGATGAAGGCCATAATTCCCCGGAGGGGAGATCTATTTCAAACTTAACAACCCCGCTAAAATGATTAAATATGGTTTATTGTAAGAATGGTATGTGAGAACAAGACTGGGTATATTTGCAATATGGAAATTTACACAGGTGAAGGAAAAAAATTGAATGACTATTCTGTCACTACTTTGGCCGTATCTGGAATTGGGGCATCACATATACCAAGATAACTATTATAATAGCATTTCAATTGCAGAAACTATATATAAAAAATATCCTACTAAAGTTTGCAAAGTATGCAAAAGTAACGGTAAGAGAAGAGAAACGCATTACATTTGCCAGCTTTGTTTAGTTCCACTTTTATTACACAGTGTTTTACAAAGTATCATACTTTGAAAAGATATTAGCTTCATCTACACCATGGAATACTATGCTGCTGTAAAAAAGAAGGAATTCTTACCATTTGCAACAGCATGGATGGAACTGGATAACATTATGCTAAGTGAAATAAGCCAGTCAGTGAAAGAAAAATACCACGTGATCTCATTCATTTATGGATAATAAAGACCATTATAAACTGATGAGCAAAAATAGATACAGAGGCAGAGCAGCATCAAACAGACTGTCAAACTACAGCAGGAAGGCTGGGGAGGGAAGGGGGTGTAAGAGATCAACCGAAGGACTTGTATGAATGCATATAAGCATAACCAAGGAAATAAGACACTGGGGCGGGGGGGGGGGGGGGGGGTAGGGGAGCCCAGGGGAATGTCAAGGGGAGAAAATAAAGGAGACCTATGTAATACTCTTTATAATACTTTAAGCAAAAAAAAAAAAAAAAATGTATGTATCAGAGAAAAAATAAAATAAAAAGAACATGTAATAAATAACTTCAAAATGCAATGGGTATTTAATTTTAAAGTGTGCCTTTAACATTTATGTAAAAAGTTTTTTGTACTCGTTCAATAGAAACTTATTTGGCCACTGGGTAAAGCTAGCAATAAAACTACTGGTCCACAATGTTAATATACCTTGGCCACTTCAACCCTCAGAAAAATAGCCCAACTCTCCTCAGGTTTTTCATACTGAGCTGTTATAAAACATGTAAATTCTATGAGTGTCAAACACATTGGAATTGTATTAGGCATGTTGGTGTGAATATTCATGCAAACAGACTCAAAACAGCTGAAATTCATGTTGGTGCCTCCACATAACAGACTCAATTTTGGTAATAAGCTTAAAAAGGCATTGGGATAACAGCATCTCTGAAAATTTTATGCTAATTATATTTTTTTAAATTTTGCTGTGCATTTTTTTTTTTTTTACTTTTAAATTTTTAATCAGGAACTGGTAGATATCTTTTAAATCACTAAGTCCAGTTCTTTTGATTACATATGTGATGAACCTAGTGATACGTCTTAGAATTTGTGGGAGCTTTTTAAAACTTCAAACATCTAGAAATACTAGTATATAGTACAGTTCAGTTATTCAGGTCAAACTTGAATATGCTCGGTTTCTGCAGCAGGGCTTTTGTGCTGCAGCACACTTTGGAAACAAAAGACAAATGAGAACCAAACTGGATTTTTTTTATTTTTTACGGTAGAAATAAATGCTGTTGTGGGTTTAATTGTGTCTCCCAAAAAGGTATGTTCCATCTCTAACCCCTGGCTCCTGTGAATGTGACCTTATTTGGAAATAGGGTCTTGGCAGATGTAATCAAGTTAGGTAGGATGAGGTCATACTGAATTTGGTCAGCCTTAATCCAGTGTCTCCTGTCCTTGAAAGAAGAAGGAAGTTTGACTTCTGGGTATTTATCTGAAGGAAATGAAAGCACCGTCTTGAAGAGAAATCTGAACCCCTATGTTTGTTGCAGCGTTATTTACAAAAGACAACCGATGTTGTCTGTCAGTGGATGGATGGATACAGAAAACATGGAATGTTATTCAACCACAGAAAGGAAATCCTGCCTTGTGCAATAACATGGAACTTCAGGGCCTTGTACTAAGTGAAATAAGTCAGAGAAAGACAAGTTCTGCATGATCTCCCTTATATGTGGAATCTAAAACATGTTTTATAGAAACAGGTGGGTGCGTCCCAGGGTGGGGGAGGTGGGGGAGTGTGTGAAGCTGGTCAAAGTATACAACCTTCCAGTTATAAGATGAGTAAGATCGGGGAACCTAATGATTCCCAGAAGACAGCATGATGACTATAGTTAATACTGCATTATACACATATATCAAATCACATCGTACACTTCAGTGTTTTGTGCCATGTCTCTCAAAGCAGGGGGCAAATAATAGAAAAGAGGGCACTTTGGACACACACAATGTCGTGAGACAAGAGAGGCATGTATAGGTTGGAGTGATAGATCTTCAGGCCAAGGGACACCAAGGATTGCCAGCAGCCACCAGAAGCTGGGAGAGGGGCCTGGAACAATTCTCCAGGTCTCTGGAAGGAGCCAACCCTGCTGACCCCTTCACTGCTGATTTCTGGCGTGAACTATAATAGTACATTTCTGTTGTTTTAAGGCACTCGGTTTGTGGTAATTTGTTAGGATAGCCGCAGGAAGCGACCAAATGTTAATGTAGAGAATTAAAATCTAGAAATATGACCCCCGTTATAATTTTATAAAATCACTTTTCCCCCTAAGATTGTATAAAAGTAAAAAGGGGTGTAGTAAGGCATACCCCACACACAGATACAAATCATGAAGGCATTGTTTAATGCAATTGGAAGGAGAGAAATATTTTGGCCTCTAGCTAGAGCCCTGAGGTTTTCTGTTGCTATTTTTCTTTTGTGTTAAAAAATATGCTTTTTAAGTGCAAAAAAAAAAAAAAAAAAAAGAAAAGAAAAGAAACTAAACCACCTTCTTACACCATACCCAAGAATAAACTCAAAATGGATAAAAGACTTAAATGTAAGTCATGAAACCATAAAAATCCTAGAGGAAAACATAGGCAGTTATATCCCGGACATTTCTCATAGCAATCGTTTCCCCTGTTGGGCAAGGGGAAAAAATAAACAATTGGGCTATATCAAACTCAAGAGTTTTTGCACAGCAAGGGGGAAAAAATCAGCAAAATGAAAAGACAGCCACTGAATACGAGAACATATTCACCAGTGATACATTTGATATTTTTAATATTCAAAATTTATAAAGAACATATAAAACTCAACACCAAACAAACAATGCAATTAAAAATGAGCAAAGGGCCTGAAAAGACTGAGGTTTTTTTTTTGTTTGTTTTTGTTTTTTAAAATATATTTTATTGATTTTTTACAGAGAGGAAGGGAGAGGGATAGAGAGTTAGAAACATTGATGAGAGAGAAACATCAATCAGCTGCCTCCAGCACACCTCCTACTGGGGATGTGCCCGCCACCAAGGTACATGCCCTTGACCGGAATCAAACCTGGGACCTTTCAGTCCGCAGGCCGACGCTCTATCCACTGAGCCAAACCAGTTAGGGCAAAGACTGAGGTTTTAACTATCAAGCTAGGAGCACGTTCTGCCATATCCTGAAATGCAACGAAGAAACTCGGGGGCCTCAGAAAACAGCCAGTGCTCTTCCTCCTCAGATGAAGAACCCCACTGGGGTTGGTTCCTTGAATAACAAACACGTGCCCTGCCTCAGCTTGACCAGGGGGGAACTTATTTCACTTAGTATAATGCCCTCAACTTCCTAAAACGGCTTGAAGATGTCATTTCTAATACAGTATATAGGAGGCTGGCATATAGCTTTTATCTTTTCCCATTTCCACACACAATTCTGGACACGGAGGAGCACTGCTTGCTACTAAAAAACACCGCCACACAAGAATGCCCAGCCCCAAGAGGGGTGGTTTGATGTGGGCCATCACGTTTCTGGAAACAGACCCAGTGGAGTAGCAGGGAGAGAAGTTCCTTGGACTGAAAAACTCAACTTGGCCAATTTCTGTGTGTGGTGGAGCAGTAATTCCAGCTTCTCTGGAATGACAGAGGCTCAGAACGGACGGGGCCGTGTTGGACCCTCGGTCTCTTCTTCTCTGCAGGCAGGCAGCCAGCTCCTCAGCTCGAGTTCGCTTGAGGAGGGGACGCTGAGCTAAGTGAAGGTCTGCAGCTTCAGCGGGTAGTCAAAGGCCGGGTTCTTGTAGGCCACCAGGTGCGCGTGGGAGCACTGCCTCCGGCGCCGCCGGCAGAGGCAGGCGGACAGCACCAGGGTGCTGACCAGCAGCAGGCCGCCGGCGGCGCACAGCCCCGCGAAGATGAGCACGAAGCTGGGCTTGGTGGTGAAGGAGGCGCACGGCCCCCGGCGGCCCGAGGCCTGCGGCCGGCTCAGCCCGGCCCGGTTGGCCGCCTGCACGCACACGCGGTACGTGGTGCCCGGCGACAGCCCGTACAGCGGGTGCTGCCGAGCCGTGGCGTAGATGTCCCCCACCGCGGACTGGTTCCCCGGCCAGCCCTCCCCAGAGTAGCGCACCTGGTAGCTGCGCACCACCGAGTTGGGGGCGCACCAGCGGACAAGCGCGGACGTGTCTGTGATCTCCGACACGCCCTGCAGCTTGGGAGGGTCTGGGACGGTGTCTTCCTGGCTGAAGCCGGGGCACTGGCACTTCAAGCGCCTCTGCAGCTCCGCGCACGGGGTCTGGAGGTGCTTACAAGGGTGGTAATCGCAGGCCACGCCCTGGGGTGGCGCGCTCACCTTCTCCCCCTTCCCCTCCTCTTCCTCCTCCTCCTCCTCCTCACTGGAGTCGTCCAAAACCAAGACTGGAATTCCATCCTGGGAAGGACTTGGGTGGGGAGCCTGCGGGGTGGCCTGGGTCGTCCGGTAGTGCCGGGGGCTGCTCAGTGGGTTCCGGGAGGCAGGGAGGAGACCACGTTGTTTGCTGGTGGGTGGGAGGGAGGCAGCTGAAATATTAGGGTTCAGGACATGCGAGGCAGTAGGTTCGTGTCCTGTCCAGGCCGGGCTTGCAGCGCTGGAGTTCCTGGGACCTGCTGTAGAGACGGTAGTGGAGGCAGCGGCCCCCGCCCCGACAGCTCGTGAGGGGGTGCCCACAGGGAGGGAGGGGGCCTTGGTGACAGCTTGAGAGGGAGGGGCTGTGCTCAGCAGCGGGGAGAAGGGACCGGGGGTGGAAGGCGCGTGGGTAGAGCCCGTAGAGGAGGGTGGGCTGGAATCACGGAGGGTGGTGCTTTGGTCCTGGGGGCACACGCTGGGCAGCTGGGACAGCGCCAGGGGGGCGGGGAAGGCCCCAGGGGATCCTGCGGCTGGTGCGCACACAGTGTCCGCTGCCCTAGGGGAGAGGTCAACCGGTTAGAACAGTGGTTCTCAACCTTCCTAATGCCGCGACCCTTTAATACAGTTCCTCATGTTGTGGTGACCCCCAACCATAAAATTAATTGTTGCTACTTCATAACTGTAATGTTGCTACTGTTATGAATCGTCATGTAAATATCTGATATGCAGGATGTATTTTCATTGTTACAAATTGGACATAATTCAAGCATAGTGATTAATCACAAAAGCAATATGTAATTATATATGTGTTTTCCGATGGTCTTAGGCGACCCCTGTGAAAGGGTCGTTCAGCCCCCAAAGGGGTCGCGACCCACAGGTTGAGAACCGCTGGGTTAGAAGGTACTTGGCATTAAGGCGCTTTCTGCGCTGGCCTTTGAGTGCTCAGTACAGACAATCCCTCTTGCTTAGCCTTGCCAACAGGAACCCCATGGTGCGGGTAGACGTGCATCACCTCACTGACCTCAGGGTGACCTGTGGAGGAGGCTCCCATGAAGCAGAAGAGGAAAGGGAAGCTCAGGTTAGCAGGGCCAGCAAATGGCAGGGCCTAACTGTGGGCCAGCACCGCGAAGGGCAGTCCAGATTCTCTGAGTGTTCTCACCTGGCTGCCTCCTGGCCTCGAGGACTAGTCACAACACTCAGACTGGCTAGCATTTTCTGAGTGCTTGCCACGTGCCAGGGACTATGGTTAGCACCTTATGTATCAGTGAATTCAATCTGCACTACCTTATGAGGCAGGCATTGTTATCCCCATTTCACAGATGAGGAGGGAGAGGCTCAGACAGGTTAAGTAATGCAGCAAAACGCACAGTGCTAAGTGGGGCGAAGAGCCTGCACCCTCAGCCTCTTCATTAAAACCACGTGAGACCCTTCGCCGCAAAGGACCTGGGTGCTTGTCTTTGGAATCAACATGAAGGGGAGAAGAGGACAGACTGCGCCTCACTTGTTTCCAGGCTTGGGTTGGAGGTGAGAAAAGAACCCCCACGGGGTGGGGCGGGGGGATGTCTCCCAAGGTGAGCTGGTGGAGCTGTTTTGAGGGAGGTGTTCCCAACCCACATCCTTTTCTGGTGGTTGACCTGGGCATTGCTGGGAGCCGGTCCATCCTTGCTGTTTCAAAGGACCTGGCATATATGGCATACTGTTCTTAATATGTTTGCTCACCTTGGCACTATGTGTTTTAACCAAGGTCTCCTCTCTGAGAAAGGTTGTTTCCCCAGGTAGGGATTTTCCCCTGAAGTTAGGGAGGGAATAAAACCCCTCAACTAAGTGCCAGGCGGGTAATTAATCACTTTAACTATGAACAATCATGCTTAAGCTACATAATCTTTACTCCCTGGAATGGAGATAAGAAATGCCCTAACCTTTGTAATAGAGATTGATAGGATTGAATCAACTGGTATAAATACAGATGTAACAAGACAGCAAGACACAGAACTTAGACACAGAACTTAGAAGAGAGAACGAAGAGAGACAGAACCTAGGCACAGAACCTACACAGAACGTTCTCTAGAGACAGAAGAACTTCGCTGGAGAGAACATGGCAAAAGATCCTGGACAGAAACTGGCAACAGAACCTAGAGACAGAACCTGGCTACAGAACCTGGATAGAACATGGCAAGAGAACCTGACTAGAACCTGGTGACTGAACCTGGTTGGAGAACCTGGACAGAACCTGGCTGGAGAACCTAGCGAGGGAACATGGCTACAGAACCTGGCTGGAGAACCTAGCAAGAGAACATGAACACAGACCCTGGCAGGAGATCCTAAGCAGAACCTCTCTGGAGATCCAGACCAGAACTTGGCTGGAGATCCTGGCTGGAGATCCTGGCTAGGCTGCTGATCAACTGAACACTGTCTCCGTGTCCTTCCTTCTTCGCCAACTCCATCCACACCTTTGGGGACCCCTGGACCTGCTGGGGTTGGACCCCAGCAGGCATGGCTCCCACTGCAAAGACAGCTCTCCCAGCTAAGAGCCAACGAGAAGTCTTTGTAGAACTCCTGTCTGTCCCACAGGAGCTCTGTGAGCCCGCTGGCCTTGGACTGAGTGACAGAGGAGGCCAGGCTCCATTTGGGGGGATTCAGGGGAACCCAGTGGTTAAGAGCACAGTTTTGGACAAAGATACATTCTGCTTCCTCCACCCAGAAGTTGCATGAATCTAAGCAAGTAGCTCCCTTCCTCAGGCCCCAACCAACTCATCTGTAAAATGGGACAATGACAACACTGCTTTGGCAGAGACAAGCCTACTGTTCATTTAGCCCATTTCTTTTTCCTACGTGGCATACAGCTAAACTACATTTTCCCAGCCTCCCTTGCAGTTAAGCGTGGATGTGAGTGGAAGTGATGAGCCCTACCTCCTGATCTGGCCCATTAAAACCTCCCATGTCTGTTCCTCCATGCTCTCTGCCCCTCTGTGTCCCTGGATGTGACTGCCTGGGGGCTATCTTCCCTGACCCACATTGCCCATCTTCCCAGCCTGCTCTTGTGAGCCAGACTTCATTCAGCTCTGGGAGGCTGACCCTCACCCCTTAGTCATCTATTTTGTAAATGTGTTACCTGCTTAGGATAGTCCTGTTTACATCCATGAGGAGCCAGGACAACTCACAGCTGCAAGTGAGGGGGTTGCCAAAGAGGTTGATGGATAGAACCTGGGAGGAATGCAGGGTCCAAGGAGGGAAGGAACTCAAGTTGCAGCTGAAATACACAGAAAATAAATGAGGGCAGGCTTTTGCAATCAGGTCAAAACTATTCCCAGAGTCATAGTGGTGTATGGAAACCCATTCTGTCAGGGATTAGTGATCTCACTTTGGGCAAAACTCTTAATGACCTTGGACTTTCTTTTTGTCATCCTTTCACAGATGAGGAAACTGCTCTGTAAAGGTGTTAAGTAACTTGCCCCAACTCACACAGCTGGTAAGTGCTGGAGTCAGGATTGGAGCCCAGGCAGTTTGGCTCCACATCTTTTGCCTTATACACAAGGTTGCATCCGTCAAAAGCTCAAAAGGAGATCTGAGACAGAGTTATCACTCATCAACATATCACCACGACCATCATTATTATCACCACTAGAGGCCCGGTGCACAACATTCGTGCACTGGGGGCAGTGGGAGAGGTGTGTGTGTGTGTGTCCCTCAGCCCAGTCTGCAGCCTTTTGCAGTCTGGGATGCTCAGGGGATGTCACTGCTGCGGAGGCTCCCACCACCACTGCTGCGCTTGCTGGCCAAGCCGTCAGCCTGGCTTCTGCATTGAGCGTCTGCCCCCTGGTGTCAGTGCAAGTCATAGCGACTGGTCATTCCACCATTTAGTCTATTTGCATATTACCCTTTTATTATATAGGATTACCATCACTGTCATCAATACATCACATTACCAGCATCATCACAATCACCATTGCCACCATCACCAGCACTTTCATCATTACCATCGCCTTTATCACAACCACCATCATCTGCACTAATGTTATAGAGCACACACCGTGTGCCAGGCACAAAGTGCTCTGCATATTCTATCTCCTGTCCCTTTTGACAAGCCCCGAAGTGAAGTACTCTGGTTGGGTCTAGAGCTAGCAGAGAAAAGAGAGAAGTGGTTACACTGAGAGTGATGATGGGGAAAAGCGCCCACTTCCCAGGTTCCAGTATGGGTTCCCAGGAAAGGAGGTGGCCTGGGATCATCATCACAGGGACACTGTCCTTCCTGTTAGGAGTCAGGAAGGAGGTGGTTATAGTGGCACTTCGGACATCAACAGGCCAGAAGACACCAGCCCTGGGTCCTGACCACTAGTAGGACCTTCCTACCCTCTCATCTTTCTTTCCTAGAACCCTGGAAGGGCTGACTTCCCACATGGAGAAGCAGATGGATGGAGAAATAGAGAAGAACCTAATGCCCTCATCCCCTCTTCCACTGAAGGTTTCTCATCTGGGCTTAAAGGAAACCTTACATGCATGAGAGCTTGGGGTTTCAGTATTACTCTGGACAGCACTGAGTTGCATGGTTTTCAGGCTGGATGGACTATCTGGGACCTGCCCAAGATACCATCCAAAGGATGAGGAAGAACAAAACCCCAGAGAGGACCCGAAGGAGCCACGGGAAGAAAATTAAAGTCTGGTAAGCTCTATAAGATAGTTACTTCGATTCAACATGGGGGAACCGGCAAAATTCATCCATGTGACTCAGAAGCACTTACTTTTGCAGCAGAAGGAGCTGTAGGCGAGGAGTGTCTTGGAAGATGCGTGTCTGGACAGAGGTGAGTGCTAGGGAATCTTGACAATCCAGTTGTTGCAGGTCAGAGGTCATCTTGAAAATGTCCCCCTCCAGGCTCCTCAGCATGGGCATCTTCCTCAGGTGGAGGGATGTGAGCTTGGGCAGGTCTCCCATCCACCTCGGCTGAACTGAAACACAGAGGGGAAACGGCCCACTACTCAGGAAGCCACCAACCTAGGAGGCTGGCAGGGTATTACGGAAACACCAAGAGTGACAAAGTGAGTTGTGAAGGCCATTGCTGAGTATGGGTACAGTTGGAAGCTTTAGGAAGCTCAGAACTATGGGCTATATCACCTGAAAGACCAGTCTTTCCTTCCTTCCTTCCTTCCTTCCTTCCTTCCTTCCTTCCTTCCTTCCTTCCTTCCTTCCTTCCTTCCTTCCTTTTTAGCTGAGACGACTGAGGCCAGAGAGGAGAATGATTGGTCCAAGGCCACACAGCTGGGAAAGGACAGGGCCAGAACTTGAATGCAGGACACTGTCTCCAACTCCGCTGCTGCCCTGCCCTCTTGTTAAACTCCACACAGAAATACCCCAAACTTCACCTAGATGGCTACCAGGAGTGGGGAACTATTTGAGAAAGGTAAGGAAGGAGGAGAGAAGGGCAAGGTGGAGGAGGCCCAGACACCTAATTGTGTGGCTCTCCCAATACTACGTGGAGAACGTGCCCCTTCCCCTCTGTGTCCAGTTCTCGCTCTTGTCTTCCTTTGTCTATGGTGGGACAGGCGATGACAGACACATGAAGGGTTTTTAAACATAACAAAACCAACCTTGTGAGCCAGAGTCAGAACACACGAAGGACAGGAGAACTGGTGCTCTCACCTCCCTCCTGAGTCTTGTTTGAAGGGTCAATAACTGCAGCAGAGTTTTAGCCAACCAAGTAGCAAAGTCCCTGAATTCATCCCCAGAGCACACGCTGCTTCACGGAACTGCCTGTTTGATTCTGATCAGCCCAAAGCAATGCATCCACTCCCCATTCTACCAGCATCCCCTCACTCTGCTGGGTCGCAGTAGAACCACGTGGCTGAAGGTTTGGGCTCTGGACCCAGAATGCTTGCGTTTAAATTTGGAGGCACCACTTAATGAGCTGTGAGACCTCGGGCCAGTCATTCACCTTTCTGAGCCTTGGTTTCCTCATAGGCAGCACCGAGATAACACTAGTAGTTCCCTCTTCTTGGGACTCAAGGAATTAACCCCATATGGCACTTGGAACAGGGTGCACATGGCTCAGGCAATCAAGGCGGGGTTCTTTATGAGCAGCCCTGTGAGTGACCCCTCCAAGAACCCGGTCCCGGGAGCACCTGTCCAGCCGCCTCTAAAAACTCGGGGCGCCCAGGACTCACCCTGCTTGAGGAGCGTGCCGCTGAGGTCCAGGACCTCGAGGGAGGCCAGGGGCGCGAAGGCGGCGTCGGCGATGTCCCCCTGGCCCAGCGCGGTGCCGGAGAGGTTGAGCAGCCGCAGCGCGGGGAAGCAGGCGAAGGCCCCGGGCGGCAGCGCCGGCAGGGGGTTCCCGGCCAGCTCCAGCGCGCGGAGGCTGCCCAGCGCGGGCCGGGCGCACGGGGGCAGGGCGGCCAGCTGGTTGTAGCTGAGGTCCAGCGTGTGCAGCCCCGCGGGCCAGCCGGGGTCCCAGCGCAGCGCGCCGATGCGGTTGTGGCGCAGCGTGAGCACCTGCAGCTGCGGCAGGTGGCCCAGCTCCGACGCGCTCAGGGCGCTCAGCAGGTTGTGGCTGCCGTCCAGGCTGCGCAGCGCGCGGGGCAGGCAGCCCGGCAGGTGCTCCAGGCTGCGGTTCGCCAGATTCAAGGTCGTGGCCCCCGTGGCGAAGAGCCCCTGGCAGGGCGAGCCCGTGGTGTCGTTGGCCTCGCTTCCCCAGGGGCCCAGCTGAATGAGTCGGAAAAGAGGGACCCTCTCCTGGGGAGGCTCTGCCGGGCTCAGGCGCAGCGCTGTGGTCAGCAGCAGCAGCAGGGCCAACCACATGGTGCGTGGCTGGGGAGAGAATAACGTGACAGCGCGTTAAATCCAGAAGAAACACCCCGAAAGAAGGGTAAATGTGCCCCCTACCACCGGGCTTGGAGGAGGAGCACAAGTCCTGGGCGGTCCCCAGCATTACTAGGTGTGCAGTGACTTTGCCCCTGTCACCTCCCCCAGGTGCACCATGGCACCTCCTGCTCTTCCTTCTCCCAGCCATGCTCTTCCCTCTAATCCCCTCTCATTCTGTGGATGCTAACCCACAGGGACCTCCTGCAGAAGGCCTCCCTCATCCGCCCCATCTGGGCCTGAACCCCCCAGGAACCCCATAACCCCATCCCATGAGCTTCCGGAGGGAAGGGAACTTGCCCTGTATCGCTGTAAACACCCCAGGTGCACAGACGCTGCTACAAAAATGCCTATTAATGGTGAGCATGGGCTTGAGGAAGATTTTGTCAGTCCCAACAGAACTCAGCTCCACCCATTTTCCCCTTAGATCTGCCCAGCCTCAGAGGTGAGTCCTGCTTTGCATGTGACCTGGTTTGCAGGTCACAATTTAAAATAAGTTTTAGGGTCTCTTTCTTGGGAGGGCCCTCAGGGTTGCCGTCAGGGAAGCAAGGAGCCCCCAGACAGCTGCGATACTTGGAACCTGAATCAAGCCTTTCCTGGTCCCTCCTTGATCCCCACAAAAGCCAAGGCTCCTGAGGTCAGCCGTGCCCGGGAGGATGACGGAGAGTCACCAGCTGTGGAGTTTCTGGGGTACCCAGGATTGCACAGGGCGACTGGGAGACCAGGTAGGGGGTACATCAAGCAAAGCTACTTCCAATCAAGCCTTGGCCTTGACGTCACTCCTTGATATTCCCCCATTTCTGTAGCTGCGTGTTCCTGCCCCAGCTACTCGGCTGACCACTAGGTCTCTAGGCAACCGTCCAGACCTCCCTCTTGCTATGTTGGAGTCCAAGCAGTGAGAAAGAGCCGGAAACTGAGGCCAGTAATCCCTGCCTCCAGCAGGGTGTCCTACTCACCGGAAGCTGTCCTTTTGGAGTGTGGCACTTGCCCTTTTGTAGTCTTCACTGTTGTCTTATAGATCCCAGGAGCCAGTCACTTGCACAGCAGCTCAACTCTGAATTCCAGAGGGAGGCCTATTTCCCAGCTGCCCCTGCCCCTGCCCCTGCCCCTACCTGCCCCCACCTGCTCCCACCTGCCCCCACCTGCTCCAGGCACTGAGAGGGCCTGAGATAGCTCGGTCCCTGCACGCCTCTCCTTCCTCACTTTGTGGTCTTTGGCCAACACCCTAAGTGCCTGTCTCCTCCTCCCACTCTGGGACCGGACCTGCCCCTTTCCTGGCCTGGTTCCTCCTCCTAGCCCTCCCCCATCTTCATCTCACTTTACACTGCCTTCTCAGGCCTGAGAAACAGAGGAAGTCAGCTCTCCCTGCCAAGGTGAGGTCTGAGGGCTGATGGGCAGTGAGGCAGAGGTGACCCTGTCACCTCCCAGGAATCTGATCCTCCTGATAGGTGGTTTCCACTTCCTGGGATGCTTGGAGGATGAATGGCGAGCTGCTACCAAGAGGAAGCCCCATGGCCCGAAGGAGGAAGGTACTCTAGTCCATAGGAAGGCCTGCCGAGATTCACAGGGGAAAGTGGCCAGAGAGAGGTCTTCCGAGGAGTCTGGGAGCCGGGGCAGGCTCAAACCAGATCCAGGCGTCTCCAAGAAGAGTTAGTTTGGTTTCTATGGGACCCAGTTCAGTGACAGCAGGGAGGTTTGTTTCTCCTAAGAGGTGGGAAAGAAACAGAGGATAGAAATGCAGAAAGAACATTTCTGCCTCATGGCAGGGGTCTCAGATCCCCGTCACCAAGAGCCCCAGGTCTCCCTGAAGCCCTGGTGACATGGCATGAGTTTTGTTTAGAGCAGAATGCCTTGCTCCCCCTGAGTTCCGAGACTGGTCATTTTGTCTGAGGGCCTTTGATCTGCACATCCCCGCCCCCCAGGCCCAGGGTTAATCATCCCCGAGTTGTGTACACAGACTCTCAGACCAGAGCTGCAGGGATCTTCGTCCTGTCAGCTCTTATCTGAGCAGCCCTGAGGAAATGCAGGGCACCTCCGAACTGCTGATGGGGTTAATGGGTAATTGCACATCCCAGGGGATCTCCTGTCTTGGCCTTCTCCACCCAAAGCCTTAAAACCAGGGGTCCTCAAACTACGGCCCGCGGGCCACATGCAAATACAAATATTGTATTTGTTCCCGTTTTATTTTTTTACTTCAAAATAAGATATGTGCAGTGTGCATAGGAATCTGTTCATAGTTTTTTTTTAAAACTATAGTCCGGCCCTCCAACGGTTGAGGGACAGTGAACTGGCCCCCTGTTTAAAAAGTTTGAGGACCCCTGCTTAAAACTATCCTTGCAGCCTCAGTGCCAGCGGGGGCCTTGCTGCTCAGATGCTTGGAAACATGAAATAGACTGAGGAATCTCAGAGGGAGAGGGTTCGGGGGAGGGAAGAGATTAACCAAAGAATTTATATGCATGTATGCATTGCCCGTGAACACAGTCAGTAGGGTGGTGAAGGCCTGGGGCGGGAACTGGATGGGAGAGGAGGGGGGAAAGGAGGAGGGGGGAACATCTGTAATACTTTCAATAATAAAGATTTTAAAAGAAAGAAGCAGCCCTGACCGGTTTGGCTCAGTGGATAGAGCGTCGGCCTGTGGACTGAAGGGTCCCAGGTTTGATTCCAGTCAAGGGCATGTACCTTGGTTGCGGGCACATCCGCAGTGGGGAGTGTGCAGGAGGCAGCTGATCGATGATTCTCTCTCATCGATGTTTCTAACTCTCTATCCCTCTCCCTTCCTCTCTGTAAAAACTCAATAGAATGTATTAAAAAATTAAAAAAGCGCCGAAACCGGTTTGGCTCAGTGGATAGAGCGTCGGCCTGCGGACTGAGAGGTCCCAGGTTCGATTCCGGTCAAGGGCATGTACCTGGGTTGCGGGCATATCCCCAGTGGGAGATGTGCAGGAGGCAGCTGATCGATGATTCTCTCTCATCGATGTTTCTAACTCTCTATCTCTCTCCCTTCCTCTCTGTAAAAAATCAATAAAATATATATAAAAAAAAAATTAAAAAAGGAAAGAAAGAAGCATTCCTTTATTGGGCCCAGGCCTGTTCTGTACACACTCCGTCTGGGGCAGCACAGTCACCACACAGGGAGCCCAGGCCCCAGAGGTAGAAACTCTGTGCCATGGATGACACAGGAGGCCAAGTGGGAGGGAGAAGTCAAGGGAAGGTGGGAAGGTGAGGGGACCAGTGTGTGGGCCAGTGGATGGGCTCAGGTGAGGCCCTGACCTCTGCCTTTGCTGGTTCACTGGGCACAGAGAGCACCCAACAGTCAATTAAAACATCAGCTCATCTCAGCTGGCGCTGGGCCACCTGAGGCCAGCAGGGTTGGGGGTGGTTCAGGCAGGGCTGCCCAGTGAGAGGGAGCCACACCCAGCTGTTTGAACAGAGACCCTGAGGAGGAAGTGAGTGGCCCCCCATAGAGGGCTATAAAAAAGGAACCCAGGGAGGAATGTTGGGTGCTTCTCTGTCACCAGTAGGGGAAGGGGTCTGGAGAGGCCGTGGGTCATTGCCCTGCGCTTGCCCAGAGCCCCAGGCCCTCTGAGCCAACTTCTTGCCTCTGCTGCTGGCTGCCTGTTTCACCAATGGTGGCAAGGGCTTGGACTGGTCTGGATCTCCCATGAAGAGGAGCTTTGGGGAAGGTGGGGGGCAGGGGGCTCCCTTCCCACAGACACATACCTAAGTCTGTCCCATATTTTTCCCAGAAAAATAAGTGTAGCTGGTGGGGACTGAGTGGACTGGGGTGTAGCTGAGAAGAATGACATACATGCATATAAATTCTTTGGTTAATCTCTTCCCGCCCCTGAACCCTCTCCCTCTGACATTCCTCAGTCTATTTCGTGTTTCCAAGCATCTGAGCAGCAAGGCCCCCGCTGGCACTGAGGCTGCAAGGATAGTTTTAAGGCTTTGGGTTGAGAAGGCCAAGACAGGAGATCCCCTGGGATGTGCATTCCGCTGAACCCCTCAGTCCCCTCCTCTCCATTCATCCTCCAAGCATCCGGCAGGGTGGCGCCACTTCCCCTATCTATCTATCTATCTATCTATCTATCTATCTATCTATCTATCATCTATCCTCACTCTTTTTTCCATTGATTTTTAGAGAGAGTGGAAGGGAGAGGGAGAGATGGAGAAAGAGAAACATCGATATGAGAGAGACACACCTACTGGTTGCCTCCTGCACACACCCTTACCAGGCCGGGAAACCTGCAACTGAGGTACGTGCCCTTGACCTGAATTGAATCCGGGACCCTTCAGTCTGCAAGACAAGCTTTTATCCACTGAGTCAAACCAGCTAGGGCAGTGACGGCGAACCTTTTGAGCTCGGCGTGTCAGCATTTTGAAAAACCCTAACTTAACTCTGGTGCCGTGTCACATATAGAATTTTTTTGATATTTGCAACCATAGTAAAACAAAGATGTATATTTTTGATATTTATTTTATATGTTTAAATGCCATTTAACAAAGAGAAATCAACCAAAAAAATGAGTTTGCGTGTCACCTCTGACACGCGTGCCATAGGTTCGCCATCACTGGGCTAGGGCCATCCCCCTTTTTAAATTGAGTACTTACTACTCAGAGCCTAACATATAAGCATTATCATATTGATGCCTTACAGGTTCTGACTATTATTCCCATGCTACAGATAAAGAAACTGAGGCTCACAGAGGCTGACCAGTTAGTTTGTAGTTAGTCTGCTTAATCACTGCTTTTACATTGCCTTCCATGGGCTTCAGCATTTCACGCTGTAATATTCCCCTTAAGCCCAAGAGAAAACCTTTCCCAAGTATTTAGATCCCAAGAATTGTGGAGAGAAGGGAGGGAAGGCACTGCAGGTGTGTTAATGAGCAGGGCACTCAATCCTGCGGGGACCCTCTGCGAAATTGCGGAGCGCACCTGAGGATTGTTTCATCAAGCAGCAAGGAAGTGGGTGTATTTACCCACCAGCTTCTGCTTCTTGTTGGCTTGCCTTCCTGTGGCTTTAACTCCCTGGCGTGCCTGGCTTGCTCTGAGCATGGATCAAGCTACTCCAGGGAGGTCTAAGGAAGTGGTTCTCAACAGTCTGGCCCTTTAAATACAGCTCCTCATGTTGTGACCAAGCCATAAAATTATTTTCGTTGCTACTTCATAACTGTAATGTTGCTACTGTTATGAATCGTCATGTAAATATCTGATATGCAGGATGATCTTAGGCGACCCCTGTGAAAGGGTCATTCGACCGCCAAAGGGGTCACGACCCACAGGTTGAAAACCGCTGGTCTAAGGGGACAGGCACCAAGAGCATCTGTTTAGCATCCTTCAAGATTTTGCCCATGCCCTGGCAGGTGTGGCTCAGTTGGTTGGACGTTGACCTGTGCACTGAAAGGTTGCAGGTTAGGGCACATGCCTGGGTTTCAGAAGCAGCTTATGGATGTTCCTCACAGTGATGTTTCTCTCTCTCCCTCTCCCTTCCTCTCTCTCTCTAAAATTCAATTAAAAAAATAGATGTATATATATACAAAAAAGATTTTTGCCGAAGCAGGCCCCCCCTTTGGTGTTCTCTCCCAGGTGACTCAGGCTAACCGCCATCAGGTAAATTGACATGACCCCTAATTGAGGACTGACTTCCTGAGAGCTGGGCGGCGTTATTATCCTTGGTAGCCCAGATGCCCGTGGTGGAGTCTGGCACTCAGGACAAATGTTCAAAAATTCATGGGAAGAGTACACGTGAGTCAGAAGTCCTCCATGGTGCCCTGAAGTGGATGGGGCAGGACTCAGAACAGTAAACATTACATTCAAATGCCTGCGATCTGAACATGCAAGCCTTGAGAAGTGCTCAGGTGAGGGTGAGCTGGAGGGCATGGCGGGTGGGGGCTGGAAGAGGTGGAAGGAGAGAAGTTTCTAAGCCAGATTCCCAACACTCTCGTGGATCTTTTGGGGTAAGATCTCTTGGAAGATTACAAGTTTAGAGTGTTAGGAAAACCATAGCCTGCTGAAGGGAGGGTGGCAGGGGGGAGGGGGGAGACAAACTAGTGATTACATACTTGGCCACATTTAT